TGACATGATGCTACCCTTAAAAATATATCCACTCTACTTATGTAAGGCAGTGCCTTGTTTCATACTTTATAGACAGAATCACAACTGGTTTTGACTTATGAGGTGTGAACTATAAGCTGTGCAACCCATAATGGAAACATTACTCTTATAGCATGTTATGTTCAACAAAATAAAACTGTTGTGTTGGCTTAGTTGTTATATCATTTGTTCATGAACACTTACATAGGTTTGAAACAGTCAAGTATAGCTTTATGCCTATGTCATACTGCCATATTGAACTTTGATCATATTTTTTCAGTGTGTGCCCCAAATTCTTCTTGAACTACTGTTACTGTAATTGGGGTTCTTTCTTGAGTGAAGTGCAAGACCATGACCCAGAATTTACTGCCTCCAGAACCCTTGTAATCATCAACTTGTGGACAACTGTGATCAAGACATGCTGTGCAACACTTGGAATGCTGTTCCTTTGTTGTTCCAGGTATCAGTCAAATCATACTATTTTGTGTTACTTTCAAGATACATACCTGAGTCAAATAATGCACTCTGCTGTATTCTGTGCCTGAGAAAGGGCACTCTTGGCCTCCTGTGTGGCAAAAAAAAGCACAACACCAATCAAGTTGCCCTGACATCATCTTTCCAAGAGACACAAGACTTTGAGTTGTTTGTGACTTCATTTTGGGTACTTTTGGTGGATGAGCACCACCATGGATTAATATTGTAGGTTCTGACATGCAAAGACAATGATAGAATTGTGCAATTCTAAATATTGTTGGTATTGTATCTTATCACTGATCAGGTTACCATGCATTGAAGTCGGACAAAAAAGGAATGCAAAACATATATTGTTCATAAGTAGCCAGAGAGTAACGATGTAAGGAAAAGAACTGAATGTTACGAAAGAAACAATCATCATAACAAATTAGCAGTGGCTGTGCTTGTTATGTGGTTATTTAGACCATGACCATTCCACACGGGGGTCATGCTTGCCGATTCCCCGGCAAAGCGGGGTTTTAATTTTCGTAAAGAGCGGAGCTGGAAGTGAATGTGACAAGAAGTGTACTCCGAGCTACAGGAGGAGTGATAGTAGGATGGCGAATAACACGCGGAGGGACTGCAAAGTGCATCGCTAAAACTGTGGAATGTTCGGAAGGACCATACAGTTGAGTCGTTGATGACTGCAAAAAGGGCGATGAGGTAAAATTCCCCATCAGGTCGTTTAAAAAAGCCCCCAACTTTTCTTCCTTTTTTCTGCTTTTTTGTTCCTTCTTTGTTACACACGTTCATGACTGACATTTGCCCTCGGCTGCGTGCCGCTGGTTTCTGCCAGAATGAAGCCTGTAACTACGTCCATACTATGCTCACCTGCGAACCCTGCGCATTCATGTGTGCGTCCCAGGTTGAGATGAACGAGCATGGTCGATCTCGTGTTCATCTAAACAAAATTAATGGACAGTCACTCGTTCTAAAGTGCTCTGTGTGCCAGATGCACTTCAGTGGCCGGAGCAGTTGGAACGCCCATATACGGTCCTTGAAGCATATGAGGATGGCAAAAGGCAAAGGGATAAGACCCAAGGCTGTCCCACCGGAGGAACTCGTACAAGTTCCGCACCACACCTTTTGTGTTACGTGCAGCGTTCAAATTCAGGATATCCACTGGGGTAACCATCTTAGGAATTCCAAGCACCTAGAGAAAGAACGATTTGCGTCTTTCAAAGTCGTTTTGGGAGAAGCCGAAAAAGACAAACAAGGTGTCTCCATCACTGGAGATTTCAATTTTGGTTTTGTTGAACCCAGTGGTAAAACTGGAAGGGTCGTAGATGGTGCTATTACCACCAATAATCCCGTATCGCATATCCGACTCGTCGACATCAGTCTTGCGTCTGCTAAAGGCACCAATCCAGCACCTTCGTACTTATCTTCCCCATCTTATTTATACATCGCTTGCTCATCAGTGCTGTTATAGTTTTGAAGTTACGCTCCCCAGAACCAGACAAAATCTCAGTCCAGGGGTGCCTGTCTACTTCTCTGTTACCTTGATTCAAACGTACATAGGACGATGCCAGGACCGGGTAGAGTTCCTCTTTGAAGATACACAGCTCCGAACCCAATTTGTGATTGTACGCCAACTCGAGGCAATTGTAGGGAACCAAGTAGACCACAAGCGGCTACAGCCTGTCGCCCCTTATATTCCTCGTCCCAAGACTGCGCGACAGCCTGAACTTCTTGTTGTAGAAGGCGTGAGGCCCCCAGCGATGAAGGCAGTACCCTATGTAGTTCCTCTTCCACGTGCATCTATTCCGAATGCCCTGGCAACAACATTGACTACCGGGTCTCGCGACGTGAAGATCACAAGAATTCGAACGGTGTTCCTTCCCAAAGAGTTCAATACCTCAAATTACGATCGTCATTTCAAGCATCTCCTTTGGATCGAAGAACATCAAATGGAGTGAGTCACTCATATTCCCAGACCAGGTACATCGTCTTAACAAGGCTCTAAGGCAAGACTTGGAAATATATGACATGACTGATGTCAAGATGACTACCTACTCTCCTTTTTACCAGTAATTCAGTTTCCAGTTAGACTGCTCGAAGCCCTTGTTGATTTCCATCAGACTTGAAGTCCCAGGGCTCGCTGAAAAGCGCCCTAGCATCCTTGTTGGTTAGTACTTGGTATTCATTATTTTTGCCGGCTGAGTCAAAAATAAAACAGGCGATAGAATTCTTGTCCAAGCCAAAGGTTCTACTCAAGGCCATTGGTTTGAAGGCGGTGTTCACGCGGTGCGCAAGGAAGAAGTAAACTTGGGTTTTAATAGGTCTTTCAGAGGCTGGTCCCGCAATCAATTATACAACGTCCGATTCAAACTTAATCGATATCCTGTCCGTCGCCAACACCAAGCTCTCGATAGCGCCTTCTCAGAGGAACGTGTATTGTTTCCCCAACGCAAGCACCTTTTGATCAGTACACATTCAAGACAGACAGATGTGCAACTTCGACCAGTGAACCCACTCATTGGCACAAATGCGGCCCAATTTCAGGCGGTCATTTCGATTGTCAAGCAACCACCTGGGTCACTGCCATTTATCATATTTGGACCGTGAGCTTTGTCTGCTCCATAGTTGTTGTCATTCTAACGGCTGTGCTGAAGACCTGGAACCGGCAAAACCATTACTGTAGTTGAAGCTATCAAGCAGGTCCTCAGAGCAAATCCTTCAACTCGGATTCTAGCATGTGCACCAAGCAATTCTGCCACAGATCTCATTGCCATGCGTCTCCGTGATTTAAGCCCAAGTGAAATGTTCCGTTTCTATGCGCCTTCCCGTGCCAAAGATCAGGTACCTCTTGAACTCCTGGATTACGCCTATGCCCGCCCGGACGGCCACTTTTCCGTGCCTCCTATGGCGCGAATCAAGCGTTTCCGTGTTGTGGTGACAACATGCGTATCTGCGTCATTTGCGTCTGGTATCGGGATACCACGGGGTCATTACTCGCATATTTTTGTCGATGAGGCGGGACAGGCGACCGAGCCAGAGGTTTTTATTGCTATCAAAACCATGGCAGGTCCAGCGACCAACATCATTCTTTCCGGTGACCACAAGCAACTTGGTCCGATTATTCGCTCTGGTATCGCTTCCCAACTTGGGTTGGACGTTAGCTACCTCGAAAGGTTGATGAAAAGGGACGCGTACAACCTGAAGAAAGGCTGTAATATTTCGTATGTAAACTCATTTTTCCATTTTATGTCATATTCGTAAACTCGTTTCATCCAGGGTGGTCAAGCTCAGCAAAAACTTTCGATCCCATGGGACCATCCTCAAGTTCCCGAACGAGCACTTCTACGACGGTGAACTGGTGCAATCGGGTGATGCCAAAGTCATTAACAGCTTCCTCGGCTCTTCGTATCTACCTAATAAAAATTTCCCCGTCGTCTTCCATGGAGTCCGTGGTAGAGACGACCGAGAGGCTTCGTCTCCATCGTTCTTTAACATAGACGAAATTCTTCAAGTCAAAACATATGTGCAAGCTTTGCGTTCGGATCGCCGATACCGGACTAGTAAGTCAACCATTTCTCCACTCCTTCCATACACTGACCCAGAATCAGCTGATAATGATATTGGAGTTATTGCCCCGTATAATGCACAGTGTCGAAAGATACGTAATGCTCTGCGTGGGCTTGCAGACGGTGTCAAAGTTGGCAGCGTTGAAGAGTTCCAGGGTCAGGTGCAGCTCAAATTTTTGAATCAGATTTTGCTGCTATAATTGATCCAGCTCTGGTTCTATAGGAACGTCGAATAATCATTGTTTCCACTGTCCGAAGTAGCACCGAATTTGTTGAATACGATCTCAGGCACACCTTGGGCTTCGTTGCAAGCCCACGTCGATTCAACGGTTAGTTTTCGGTTCCTTTCTTGAACGTCAAGCTTACAAATATTGGCACGTTCCATTAGTCGCCGTTACACGGGCACAGGCAATGTTAATTATTGTCGGCGATCCTACAGTTCTGTCTTTGGACCCCCTGTGGCGCTCTTTCCTCAACTATATACATCACAACAAGGGGTGGATTGGATCTCCTATCACTTGGGATCCTAAAGTACCGGTTGATGAAGCGGGTGGATACGCAAAACAGATTCGGGAGGCGGCAAGAATGGATATGAACGAATTTACTCGTCGTACGGAGTCGTTGACGTTGGCAGGTGCTCAAGAAGTAATTGGAGAGGAGGCCAATGTTGATCGCCCTTGGCGTGATGTAGAGTAGAGAGGGTTGTAAGATTGTTGTAAGTACCATCTGCCGGATTTCCGACACATGTGACCGGAATTTGAATGATCAAATATCTGCACTGGTCACACATTGGGGGGATGACCACTATGAAATGTTTTTAAAGAAGTGAAGCTGCTTTAGACGGACTCGGAACTTAAAAAATGTGTTCGATATGACTTCTTTGAAGCTTGTTTCGGGCATTTAATATGATATTATAATGTGACACCGAGAAAACAAGACGTCGCCTCCTTGGCTCAGTTGGCTAGAGCGCAGGTCTCATAGATATATGAGGTAGCTTGGCTACGTACCATCCTGAGGTCGCAAGTTCGAGCCTTGCAGGGGGCATGTTAATATCTTTTTCTCCGCATCTGATCTTCCGTCTTTTTTATCCTTCAATAGTGCTCTGGCAAGCAACTTCGACAGATTGAAGAATTACACTGACAAAGTCACGGGGATCCTTATTGCTTTAATCCTTCAACTGGCATCGTTGCCTTTTACACCGTTTCTGGAATGGAGAGGGCAGCCGCGGCAACCAAAAAAGTTGTCAACCTTGCGGAAAGAATGACGTAAGCAGTCAGGTTGTTCAAACATGCATTCGATGCGATGGCATCATCCACTCGAACCCACTGTCGAAAAACGTGATTTACAGAATGCTCTCCCCCACTGCTGCCGCCATTTCTTCCATCCGACTCGTGCCACGCTGACTCGCGATGGTTATGACGATTTCAAATGGAAGTCACGTAACCACAGGAAGCAAAGGCACAAGGCACTTACGCCTGGACAACGCCCGCGCAGAGGCAAGAATCTTCAACACCGTTTCGCTCATATGTCACGGCTTGAATATTGGAACATCAGTTGGTGGGTTGCTATGGTGCGTCCCTTATTACAATAAGAATGACTGGTGTAGCTGCTTGATACAGTATCTGAATTTAGGCATTCACAACAGGCAGCGTCATCTGGGTCATTAACGGCTTCTTCTCCTTCCTGCCTTTGGTTAATTCCGACGTTATGATTTCCGAAGCTGGTCTAGGTTGGACAGCGTTCGTTGGAGCAACTATTTTTGAAGCAGGGTCGATATTGGGCATTTTGGAGGCGTGGAACCGTGAAGACGCAGCTGACTTTGGATGGAATTTCTATCTACTGCATCACAAGAACACTGCCAACGACATTGGTTCCGGCCACCCTGAAAAGCCGTCGAAGCAATGGATCTGGTTCACGATGGATACAAAGTACTTCCACGAACTTGGTTTCTTGGCAGCATTCTTCCAGCTTCTAGCAGCTAGTGTTTTCTGGATAAGTGGGTGAATAGTATTGGTTTATTTGCGCGGAATTTTTCCAATTACAGCTTACAGTTTCACTGCAATCCCGGGAATCTACACAGCAATCATCAAACACACTGGTGTGTTAGATGGCACGTTCTGGACACCACAAGTCGTCGGAGGCTGTGGATTTATCATCAGCTCGTATGCGTTCGCATCTTCGTTACGTATGAACATGTGGATCTTATACGCTGTACCACCTTTCATCCAGCACCTTGATTATGCTTGAGGCCCAGAAAGCATGGTACAAGCCCAATGTTCTCTCTCTGGGCTGGCAGATCGGCTGTATGTTTTTTTTTCGGTGTAGCATGAAATTTGCGCGGACTCACTTGGTAATGCCGGCAGTTTGGAACTTCATTGGCGCTATAGGTTTCACTCTATGTGGTGCGCTGGGATACGGGGCTCAAGTCAGTTCTGGTGTCAGCTATCAAAGCTCATTATCGACGTTCTGGGGTGGATGGGCATTCTTGATCGCAAGTGTGATGCAATGGTATGAGGCTGTAAATAGTGTAGTGGAGTAACTTCGGCAAATTGTTCAACAATGCAAGCTCCAATTGTCCCGCGCGGTGTCCAAGTAGTGCTGAATATTGCCATGATACTAGGTTGTTGCGTCCGTGTCTCTAGCGTCATCTAGGATTGATATATTGATGAATAGAGGTGAAGAGCCGGCGAGCATGACTAGAGTGAGCAAAATTGAAGATTTGTCTGCAATGTCACCGGCCCAATACTAAGATAGGTTGGTATTCTACTTTGCCTACAGTCTTCTTAGTTTCGTACCCAGACCAGACAAGTGGTTCAAACGACGTCGTCCTCAGTATCCTCAAGTATGCGGAGGAGAATGATGAGAACAATCCATGGCACTCATCAAACTTGTCAATCCTGCTGCTGTAGTACACTTTGCCAGTTGAGCTCAAGAGAAAAAGAAATTCATGATGCTAAACTTTCCCCACCAATGAATGACCAGAAACAGACAATTGAGTTGGAAGAAAAGATCTTTGTGGAACAACAACTTGGCGCTTGCTTGTTGAGACGTTGTCGGTTAGATGGGCATTCGAAACACAATTATCTAAAGGTGCTTATATAAGGACAATTACTGGTTTACTCCGTCTTCCATTTCTATGGCTTGATTGCGATCTTGAGCGCTCCCCTACTGCTCATCTTATCGAGGGCCTTCTGATATTCGTCAAGCTTGAAGACATCGGTGACCATCCCCTTGGTTTTGATCTTACCACTGTCTAAGTACGCTACCGCACGGGGGAAACAGAACGTCTGCGAGAACGAGCCAATGATCTATCAGTGAATGTGAGTTGTTGTTCCTGTCTTTAGACCTGCATAACAACTGACCCTGATCTCATCTCCAAAGATCTACACCGGCTACTAAGCATGCTTCATGGGAAAGCGAGAGAAAAAAATCTACCTTGGATGGTGGCCAGTGTACGAGTGCCTTGTTCTCATACACACCATAGATCATCAATGTACCGCCTCGCCTCACGTAGTTGATGCTCTCATTTGCAAGCTTTTCGACACCCGTCGCTTCTACTACGATGTCAAAACCATATGGGTTGTCCTCTTTCAGCTTCTGCCACTGTGCTTCAGGATTTTGCCGATCCAGCTCGATATACTCGTCGCCTGCCTCGAGCTGTCTCGCGATGTCCATCTTAATTCCTTTGTTTGCTGCGATAACAACTCGAGATGCACCATTCAATTTGAGTAGTTGGGCAAGAATGAGGCCTGTAGGTCCAGCGCCCAGCAAAAGTACTTCAACGCCAACGGGAGGATTTAGTTTGTCCAGACCATGAATGGCGCAGGCCGCAGGTTCGAGCAAAGTGGCCTCCTCGTCACTCAGATTCTCCACCTTGTAAAGCTTTTTCTGTTGGCTGGACGTAGCAAATAATATTTGGTCAGGTGCAGACAAAAAATGCTTCAAAAAGGACGTACTAAACGACATACTCGGCGAATCCGCCATCTAGAGTCACACCGCGCGAATTAAAATTTTCACACAAGAGCGATTGGCCTCTTCGGCAGTAGAAGCAATTCTCGCACTGGATGAATAATAATCATGATTGGAAGGAAAGAAATGAGTGGCTTGCGTGGCTGTGCAAAGATCGAAAGGCGCTCACGGTAATGCCGACGTCTGCAACGCAGCGGTCTCCAAGTTCAAAACCCTTGACATTCTTTCCGATCTTCACGACAGAACCAATTGCTTCATGTCCCGGGATTAGCTAAGACGAAAATTGGAGGGTCACAGGAACGGAGACACAGGTGCGTTCATACCGGGAACTTGGAGATAAACTCTCCCTGAAGTGATTGTTCAGAATATTTCTCACACTCTCATGATGGTGACATACATGGTGAATGTGTTGATCGGTGCCGCAAACACCTGTGTATGAATTGGCTTTTTATTTTCGGTGCAAACAATTCTAACGAACCGCAGCAGTGAACTAGAATGCGGCATCAAACTTGAAATGATATCTCGTGTAGGATACAATGGACCAACCTTTCAGAAGGACATCATCGTCACCGACTTTAGGGATAGGCACCTCTCTGATTTCGAATTGCTCAGGCTGTGAAAGAATGATAAGGCCCAAAACTTTACAGCATCTAGAGATATGCACCCACAGCATTGTACCAGAGAGCCTTCATCGTCTTTCCTGTGAATTCAACCATGATATTTCCAAGTCAGAGCCAAAGAAAGAAAACGTGCAAGTGGAGAAGTAGAAATCCGAGTCATTTGTTACCCGGGATAGCTTATATACATGTCTTGTCCTTGTTGCTCCATCTCCACGTGGTTCCGCTCCATAGCACTACTATTACTCTACGGAACCATATTTCGGAAACAAATTGAAATGAAGACTACATATGATCTTATCCTATCCGGCCTGGCCCTTCGATCGTTCCGATAAAATCACGGGTTGACCCCAGGCAAAGAACCTCAAAGAACTTGTTCTGGCAAATTTTTCTGAGTAGGAGCCGGATCCCACTTTGCGGAAAACTTTGGGGTATGCCATACCGAAGGCGGAGGGTCAAAAATGGGGGTACCTTTTGAAGATGAGCTCGAAAAGGATATGAGCTTCGCTTAGCCGAACCTCTAGAGGCCCCAAAATCAGCCCCAATCCGTCTTTTTGTGGCCCAAAATACGCTACCATACGTATCCTCTGAGGCCCGGGCCGTTGTCACGTGATAGATTTTCTGATACAAGTGACCAGGATTATGTACCAAAAACATACTTAGGCTTATACCAATGTGATGAGAAGGACCAGAGGCGTTGTCAAGCACTCTGAGCCAAGAACAAGCCAAGGAAAACGTCGAGCGGGGCTGAATGGAGCATGATCGTGCCCTTAACTACCGATCACCAGCTCCTTATTCCGCAAAATTAGGGAAAAAGATCAAGAGGTACGCACCGGAGAATTCCGATGTACCATGTAGGGGGTTCAAGGCATCCTGAAACACAAGAAAAGAAATCAATGAATTTTTCATTTAGAAAGCTGAAAATACACATAGAACCATTCATACTTGATGGAGAAACAATTGAGGAGCAATCTTGCCTAAATCTCGACTCAGCCATATATTTTGAGTAATGTCACGTGTCATGACATCATCTCGAATGAATTTTTTCCCATCAACTTTATACAGTCGAAATTGTCATAACCCATGGTCCCTCTGTCAAGGTCCAAAGTAATGGGTTGTTGAAGATTATGGGTAAGTGGAGGTGTCATTGTAGGTCACATAGAAGGCTTGATTTCATCAATATAGACAACAGTACATTGTTTGTATCGTATACAATATATTTTAAGAATCTCGAGAGGTAAAATACCGAGTGATCATAGTAGGATGGAGTGATTTGGACCCATCAAGGCATGTTTGGCATCTGAACCTTGTGAGAATTGCCTCTAGCTTATGTGCAAATGGATCATCCATGTCAGAGATGTAATTGAGGATTGTTGAGGCTGCAGAAAGTGCTGCTTAGCATGATTGTTTATTGCCTTTGTTGTTACCATTGTCTATCTCCTCTGTGTGATGTTGTTC